GCCTCTCTAGAGACCCTATGGAACAGGGTAGAACAGCCCATGTGGGTTTCTGAGACTGTACATCTGTACGTGAGTAGAGAAGTCTCATCTTTCTCTTATAGAGCAGCTGGTGGTTTCAAACCACTAACCTTGTGGTTGACAGCTCAACTCAGAAACCACTATGTCACCAAGGGTTCTCTTAAGCTAGTATTATAAATACGGAACCCAGCGAAAATGCTAATTTTTAAAAAAGCTATTTTTTCACCTTTGTTGTTGTAAAAGTAGTAACTCACACATAAAAAGGAATATGAAAATAAGTATATTGGTATATCACTCCATAATCAGGACTAACATTTTTTCTGATGACTTTGTTTCTTATTTTATGCATAGCTTTTTGAAGTGTAACTGTCATCATAGTCCGCATACCATTTTATAGTGAGGCTATTTTTGACTTAATATTGAAACAGTTTTGGGGCTGGTTCGGTGAATGTCCTGGTGGTGTCTTTATTGGCTACTTGGTAGCAATAGTAGTGATTATCATTTGAGCATGCTCACTGTTCTAAGTGTAATTCTTCAGTGATTATCATTTGAGCATGCTCGCTGTTCTAAGTGTAATTCTTCATTGAATCCTTACAGCAAGCCTATGAGGGATATACCGTTAATCTCATTTTACAGGTAGAGAAATTGAAGCCAAGTGAAATAAACACACATCTTGCAAGTAGGGAAGCCAGGAACCAAACCCAAGCATTCTGGCTCCTAGCCCCAAGAACCATGCACCATCATTGACACCATCATTCGTTAGAGTGGGTTAAACAGTAGGGGGTTCTTGACTCCATTTTGCAGATGAGTAAACTGAGACACAGAGTGGAAAAGTGACATGTCTGAGGCGAGGCAGCAAGGACGAGGCAGAATTGGGGCTGGGACTTAGGCTCCTGACTTGGACTACCTTTAGTCCAGCTTCTGCCTGCCTTTTCTCCTCTTTCCCTCTGGATCCCTGGTGGAGTGGGAGGTAAAGTTTTAGTTGTCAACTAACAGGTTGGGGGTTGAACCCACCAGATGCTCCACGGAGGAAGACGGGGCAGTCTGCTGTGTGAAGGTGGACAGCTTTGGAAACACTCTGAGGCAGGTCTGTCCTGTCCTGTAGGGTCACCGTGAGTTGGAATTGAGAGTAGGTTTAATTTGGCTTTGCCCTCCTTTCAGGAGCTCCCCCTGTTCCTCCTGCCTCTCTGGGTCTCAGTCGCTTGATCTTTAAAATGGGGATCTCCTTTACCCTCGCCCTACCTGGCTGCGCTGCTTCAGCCCTGCCCTCCCCAGGCTTGGCTAGAAACTTGCATGGGACTGTTCTTGTGGCTAAGCTAGCATCTGCTTCCCCATCTGGTCCCAACTTTTTTCTTAATTACCCACTGAATTGGCTCTAACAAAATGCTGACAACTTGAATGAGACATTAGCCAATATATCAGCACCCTGTGCCAGGGCCTCATGGGCTTTTCCAGGACGTGACAAACTGGGGCCCAACAAAACCTCTTGTTCCCTGCTGGAGTCCCCATCTCAGTCATTCCAGCTGAGTGGCAGGCACCAGCCAATTTACAGTGTTATAATGGGTCTTGAAGCTAAAAATGCCAGCTCTTCGGGGTTGAACCCAGAGACTTTCTCAGTGTCTTTGTAGCTGGAAGCAAGGTTTGTCCTCTTAAGTGGTCTACTGCAAGGTGAGGGTGGGGACATTAGGCTGGTGTGCTTGGTTGGCCACAGGGTGCCTCCTGCCTGCCATGCTGGGCCAGTTTTTACATCTTTACAAAGCGGTGGTGGTTCCATGAGGCGTGGAACAGGCTCTGAGTCTGACTTTCTGTGACTGTGAATGGAGAGGACAAGCCTTTCGTTTTCTCATTGTAAGCGGGGCAAGTATGGCCAGAAGCTATCCTCATGGGGGTGAAGCCCACCTGTCTGGATTTAAATCTTGCCTCTGTTACTTCCTGCCTGTATGTCCTCACTTGGGCAAGTTTCTGAACTCCTGTTTCACTGTCTTTGTTTTGAATCTGGTGGCATAAAATCTCATAAAGTTATTTATGAAGATTAGATGAGTTAATAGTTGTGAAGTTCCAATACTTAGTAAGCACTCAAATGTTTCCTGTGGCTTACCCCTTCCTCTGTAAACACCCCACCCCTGCTTATTTGTAGAGTCCTGGTGGTGGTGTGGGTTACAAGTTGGGCACCTAACTGCAAGGTCAGCAGTTTGAAACCACCAGCCACTCTCCTCTGAGGTTTTCTACTCCCGTGATGAATTAGTCTCGGAAACCCATAGGGACAGTTCTACTCTGCCCTGTAGGTTCAGTAAGAGTTGGAATCTGCTCAATGGCTGCAAATTTGTTTTTTGAGTTTGGAAGGTAGTCATACTCAGTCCAGGATCATCTTTTGTGGCCTTCTCTTTATTACTTAGTTTATTTTTATCCTTATCTTCCCTTGCTCTTCTGCTCCTCCCTCAACCCGATCTCTCCTTGAAAAATGTGTACTGTTGTCTTGTGGCCATATGTTTAAAATTATTATTGAAATAGTATAGTGTTTAGATCTCATTCCGTTTCTCACTTTTGTCCTCAGCTCTAAGTTTCTGAGACGCATCGATGTTACTTCTAACCGCTGAGTGCAGCCACTGCCTTGTAGCCCTCTACCCTCAACAGGACAACCAGGTTTCCTTGAACTTCCTTCCACTCCAAATAGAGCTGCAGGGAACCTCAAATCCAGGCTCCCATATGGACCTCTGCGAGACCGTTTTTACAGTTGTGTACCGAGATGGAAAGTCTCCAGGTGCTGGATTGACATAGTGACTGCAACAATGGGCTTAGGCAGTTGGTACCACAATGGGCTGCAACAATGGGCTCAATTGTGAGGAGGATACAGGATCTGGGCAGTGCCTTGTTCTACTGTACACGGGATTGTTTTGAGTCAGAACCAGGTGGCACCTACCATTACTACCACCAATCCGGGGGTGGAATTTAGGGTACAATGAAATGGAAACTATTTGAAGAAAACAAGTATAACGCATGCTTTTATACTCCTGAAATCATACATTGTATTTGGTCAGTCAACAAGTTGACGGTCTGGCGAGCCTACCTTGAATCCTAGCCAAGGGCTTTGTTTTTAAAGACTGCTTTTTTTCTTTTAAGCAAGCAAACAAAACCCACTTGAAATCACATGGTATGTGTTCTTTGGACACAATTTAGAGGATACAGAAATAAGTAGAATAAGGAATGAAAATAAAGAGCGTCCCTTTACACAGCCCCACCCAATCTGTCAAGCCCTGATTTCCATTAGGGAAGAAGCATCAGTGACCAGGATACTATCATGCTAGGTCATGTGAGCCACTCATATTGCTTATGGTTTTTTTAAACATTTTATTGTGGTTTGTGAGAAAGTTTATGCAGCAAATTAGTTCCCCATTCAATAATTTCTATGCGTCTTATTCCTCCATGGCATTACTTGCAATCCCCTCAGTGTAACAACACTTGTCTCACTTCCCTCAGTTTCTCTGATGCCATTTGCCCTTCTCTGCTGCCATTCATACTGTTTGGCAGCTGACCTTTTCTTGCTGAGTAGGCTGTCTCAAAAGCATTCTATGTTAGCCTCAATAAATCGACCCATTTTTGTCCATTACTTAGGGTTCATTCCACTTTCAGGCTCGTCCATACTTTCTGTAACCTGTCCCTTTTTATGGGTATGGTGGGCATTCCCAGTTTTCCATTGGGAACCAATGCTCTTGGGGTGTTAGCCTGCTAGCAATGAATTCCTTTAGCTTTTGAATACCCTTATTTTGCCTTTGTATTTAAAAGATAGTTTCTCTGGGTATAAAATTAAAGATTCACTATATTTCTACCTTTTCCCTATTTTAAAGGTGTTCCATTGTATTAATTGTTTATGATGAGAAATTGACTGTTATTCTTATCTTAGTTCTTCAATATGTAATATGTCTTATTTTTAAAAACTGATTCCTTTTAAAAGTTTGTCTCTGGTTTTAAGACATTTGAGTATGATGTAATTGGATACAGTTTTCTTAATCTTTTCTGCTTGGAATTTATTGAGCTGGGTGGGGTGTGTGGGTTTATAAATTTCGCCAAGTTTAGAAAATTTGGGGCCATTATTCTTTAAGTATCTTCTCTGTCATTCTTCCCCCACCTACACTTTGGGGGCTCCAATTACATATATATTAGTCCTCTTAAAGTTGCCCCACTGCTCACAGATGTCCTGCTTAATTTTCCTCCATATTTTTCCTGTTTCATTAGCGTAGTTTCTGCGTCTTCAGGTTTGCCAGTCTTTGGTTCTGTGGTATCTGATATGCTCTTATTCTCATCCAGTGTATTTCTTATATTAGTTACTTTATCTTTCATCTCCAGACCTTTTCCTCTGCCTTTTTTCTGTCTTCCGTATCTGTAATGTGCCCATACGTTCCCTCTATCTTCTTGAATATATGGAGTACAATAATGATAGCTATTTTAATATTTTTAAGTTCTACTTTCTTTTTTTATTTGTAGGTTTTAACACTTTTTATTGGCATATTAAGAAAATTGTGCATTCCAATAATTAAAATCATTTGAACAAAAAAATGGCACTCCGATTAAACTGCATTTTACGCCTGCAGGACACCTTGGATCAGCTTTGCTTTTATTCTAGATATTTATTCACTGTCGCCCCACCCAGCTCCTTCCTCCACCAACATGCAAGTTCATTGCCTTCCCTTCCAGCCAGCCTGGCCCACAGGAACGGCAGGTGTGCCACATTAGTTATCAGTGGTTCTTTGATGTGAAAAGGGGCAGCAGGGTCATTTAAACTTGATCCGACCTCTTTGCATCTTACAAAGTTAAACAGCTAAAAGAAGGAAAATAAGAAGGCAATGCTTATGGAATGGACAGTGCATATTGGCGGCGCCGCCTCATTACGATTTGCCTGCTTGCTTCGCCTGTTCGATTGTTTCTTTTGAAGGCAGTGGATTTTTCTCTTGCGTTTCTGTCTTCTTCAATTTCGACTTAGAGAATTTCTCAATCTCGGCCATATCGGGTTTGTCAGACATGGTTGCGGAGGCAGCGAGAGACGTCCGAGGAGAGTGAAGTCCGTGTGCTCTAGGGCTGCTGCCGAGTCATGTTCTCCTTTCGATGTCATTTTGGGATCTGTGTCTATCCCATGATTTTTTGGTATATCTTATACTTGATGATTTTTGATTGATTTACACATTGTGGATTTTACTCTGTTGGGCACTAGAATTTATGTATTCCTCTAGATACTTTTACATTTTGTTCTATTATATATTAGGTTTCTGTTGCTGATTACAGATTACCACAAACTGAGAGTCTTAAAGCAGCACACATTTATTATTTTACAATTCTGCAGATCAGAAATTTGAAATTACTTTGGTTACAATCAAAGCTTTGGCCAGGTTGTATTCTTGTTGGAAACCCTAAGTGAGAATCTATTTTTCCCAGCTTCTCAAGGCTACTTGAATTCTATATTGTATAGCCCCATTTTTATATAGTCAGTGTCAATTACGTCAGGAAGGACACCATTCATGCTGGTTCTCTGCTTCCACATGCGACTTCTACTTAAGAGAAGCCCTGTGATTACATTGGGTCCATCTGGATAGACCAAGGTAATCTTTCTATTTTAGGCCATGCTCTGATTCCCAAATCTACAAAGTCATTGCTATCCAGTTGATTCCAACTCCTAGTGATCCTGTAGGACAGACTAGAACTACCCCTGTGGATTTCTAAGGAGTAGGCAGCCTTATCATTCTCTCGTGGGTGGAGTGGCTAGTAAGTTTGAACGCTGACCTTGTGGTTAGCAGCTTAATGCATAGTCCACTACGCCACCAGGGTTCCTTCATGTTCTGATTAGCAACCGTAATTTCATCTGCAACCTTATTTTCCTTTTGTCATGTAACCTCATATGTTTGTAGCTTCTGGGGATTAGGATGTGGATATCTTTGGAGGACCATTAGTCTCTCTTACCTTGGCAGTTATATTACTTAGAACCACTTTGATCTTTCTAAGATGCATTTCAGCCTCATGAGGCAGAACCAGAGCAGCCTTTAGAACTGAACAGGAATGGGCAAAAAAGACCCATGGGACAGATTTGACCTGTCACCTATTTTTGTAAATAAAGTTTTATCGGGACACAGTCATGCTCACTTGTTTTTGTATTGATTATGGTTGCTTTCGTAGTGCAGTGGTCCACAAAGCCTAAAATATTTGCTATCTATCCCTTTACAGAGGGAGCCAATTCTTACCTTAGCAATGTCTCTTCAACTCGGGGCAAACCCTGGGCTCTGATTGGCCTCCTGGAAGCTCTCCGGACAGTAAGCTGGGACAGATGTAGGCCCCTCCTTGTGGGTTTTTCTTGTAAGGATCACTGCCCTGTACTACCTGTTAGCTAATGTCTAAAAATCACTATTGAATCTATGCTGGAAAACCCGTCTGATTGCTTAATTGTGAAGGGTGGGCTTTGTTACTCTGTCATGGCCAGAAGCCATCAAAACTTCTTATATCAATAGTATTTTGCATTTATGAAGGTACTTTTGGAAGATAGCATGCTAGCAGAGGCATTGTGGGGTCAAAGGCTCTGCATTTTAATGATAGCCCAAAGGGGCCCCTGTAAAGGCTGTGCCACTTTATCATTTGAGAGTCTCATTTCAATGGCATGGGTTGGAGGGACAGATGATGTAGATGTAACTGCTTTGAGCTTGAGAGTGCTGGGAACGTGCCAAGGGCTGTTTTTAAAGGAAGGGCTTTTACTCGCTGATCTTCCTTTAACCAGGTTCTCTGGTGGCCATTTTGCCCTGCCACAGTGTGCCTAGGCCGGCTCTTAGAGGGCTATGATTATTTCCTGAGCAACTTGGGGTCATTGGAGAGGAGTCTTCCTTTAGGTTGCTGTTTTCTTTCCTGACACATGCTGAGCACCTACAGATGCCAAATAACGTGTGGAGTATTTCATGATGTCATGCGATATAACCTTATTCTCACCCACGGCCTTGGGAGACTGGGGTGAAATGAAAACGGGTAGTGTGGCTTGTCTAGGGGGACACAGCAATTCGAGGACTTTCTGCCTTTAAACCTATCCTGGCAGGTCATGCATGCAACATTTCTATTTTGTGAAGGACTCATTAAATTGCAAATGCTCATTTGTAGCTTGTTTTACTGAAAGGGGATGCTTATTGGTTTACCTCCTGAAAAGGCCAGAGATTATCTAGCATCAAGCATGGCCAGGCTTAGATACTCAGGGGTTATCATTTCCCCTGCCATAGAGTTCCTTCTGACTCACAGCCCCCTGTATAGAGCTTCCGAGGCTATAAATCTTTATGGGAGCAGACAGCCTCATTTTTCGCCTGTGGAGCGGCTGGTGGGTTTGAACAGCTGACCTGGTGGTTAACAGTTCCAATGCCATTAGGAATGTGTTATTCCTCATCTCTCAGTTCTTATTTCCCTGGGTTGACTTATTCTTCAAGAAAGCCCTCCCACAGGAGGCAGAAATGACTACCGTGGCACCAGGTTTCTCTTCCACTCCATGGAGTGGCCCCAAAGAGTGCCCCTTTCTCAAGGGTTTTACCCAGAGTCCCAAAGAGGACTCTCAGCAGCTCACAGGCGCATCTCTGAGCAAGTTATCATGTCAGGACTTATTCTTCTGATTGGCCAAACTTGAGTCATTTGATGCTTCTGGAGTTTAAGCCCCGTAAACTCACGGAGAGTGTGGGTTCCTGTATTGTAAGAAAGGATGCTGGGTAGGCAGAAATAAAACTCTGTCCACTATTCTCCCTCTGAAAGCCAGCCTGACTACTCTGACGCTCTGTGCCCATATTTCATTGTCTACTTGGCTCCTGCCCTGCTGAGTGGTTTCTCTCTTCTGGTCTTGGCGTTGGCAGTAGTGCTCTGCCTTCCTGGGCCCCAGACACTAACTGTTCCCTTACGCCACCTTGGGCAAGGACTTCCTCCAGGTGAGGCTATGCTGGATGTTGCCTCGCTTGCATGGCTCAGAACCTGGCCGAGAACTTTCCCATGTGGACATTGGGTGGAGGAGACACCAGACCTTCACTGTTCAGTGTTGAGCCTGTGTTCTTCAGCCCCAGGGTGGGCGTGTGCCACTCCCAGGGTGTTTCCCGCTGTGAGAGCAGAGGAATTGTGAGTATGCCCTGAGAGAGAACCTGCCACACTGCTAATCCCACCTCTGAGACTACTGACCAAGAGGCCGTGCAGGCTGAGCCCATATCCCATATTGGCACCAGGAAACAAGGGTCTGCTGGCAGAGGCACCCCCTGTGCCCTATAGATGAGGACTTTACAGGTCCGGATAGTCAGCTTGCTCCACTCTCAGACATCTGGTGTTCCTGAATCTTCTGGGGATGAGGTGGAATCTGAGATTTTAACAGACTCCCTGTTGTGGTTGAGTGGTGATTCCCCAAGAGGTTTGCCCACCTCCCAGTCTCCAGAACCTGTGAGTGTTATCCTATTTGATCAAAACGGGAGGGCTGTCTTTGCACATATCATACACAATTAAGGATCCTGAGTGAGAGGATAAATGAAAGGACCTAAATGATCCGGGTGGGTCTTCAAACCAGTGACAAGCACCTTCATAAGAGACAGAAGAGCAGGTGGCAGTTTGACCCCAGAGGGAGCAGTTGAAATGGTGCAACTGCAAACTAAGGAATGCAAGGTCGGGAGCCACCCAAGCAGCTAGTGGCGAAAGCAAGGATGGATCCTCCTATGGCGCTCTTGCTGGGAGCATGGCCCCACGAGCCCGCACGTGAGAGGGACTACCTTCTTGTTGTTCCATGCCACCAAGCTTGTGGTCATTTGTTACAGCAGCCATGGGACACTAATACGTTCCCCAAGGGATGCTTTCTAGTGCAGTTTGAGAGACTGCCCTTCATCCTACTGATGGAGTTTCCCCCAAAGGGTTCTCGAGCCTTTCTCTGACGAGGCCCCATTCGGCTAAGTGACCCAGGCCTGAGGGGCTCCCGCCTTAAGATTGGATCTGTGCTCCTCAGAACGGTGCGTTGATGCCTCTTTGCCGGATGGGGAGCACGTCTGAAATGTAGGATCCATTTCTCGAGAGGTCAGCATTATTATTTTCCTTCTAGCACTTTCTGTGCCTCAAGCTATCGATGGGAAATAATGTGACAGGAAAGGATAACTCACATTGTGCCTGAAGTTTTACTTAGAAACCCTGACACCTGAAGCCAGTGGGGACCCGTCAGGCTTGGCTGTGAGAACTGGGAGGTGGGGTGTTGGTAGAGTCCTTCATGTGCTGAGCCTTTGCCTTGCAAAAGCTGCTGGCGTAATGCAGCACATTTCCTTTGTTTGTAACTAAGACCCTAAACTTGATAGAGAGAAATGTTTTCTTACCCACTGTGAGATTTCAAAGAACCTTTGGGGCCATTGACCTTTCCATAAATGTCCTGTACAGGAGTACTTTCATTCGCCTCATAGGCATCTGAAAGGTAGACAACGAATAAGGGAAACCAGGGAATGAGTGATGGGCTTGGATTGTGCTGCTGATGAAGAACATAGAAAGTACCAAGGACTGCCAGAAGAATAAACAAGTCTGTCTTAGAAGAAGTACAGCCAGGGAGCTCCTTAGAAGCAAGGATGGCGAGATGTAGTCTCACGCACGTTGGACAAGTGATCAGGAGAGACCAGTGCCTGGAATGGACATCATGCTTGGTAAAATTAGAGGGTCAGTGACAAAGGCAGCCCTGGATGAGATGGGTTGACACAGTGGCTACAGCAGTAGGTGCAAACATGACAACTGTTATGAGCATGGCCCAGGACCCAGCAGTGATTGATTCAATTGGACATAGGGTCACTATGAGTCAGAACTGACCTGATGGCACTGGACAATGGCATCCCCAACCCCCCCACCCCCCGACCCTGCCCCATCCAGGAGATCAGTATATTAAATAGATAAAAACACTTTTTTTTAACTGAGGAAGAAGTCATGGACCCATAATGATGTTGATGGGCTCTAGGGACTCTTCAGCACTAACCAAAAAGTGAGTGGTTCAAACCCACCAGCTGCTCCATAGGAGAAAGCTGAGTTAGTCAGCCTCCATAATGATCACAGCCCTGGGAACCGTGTGGG